ATTAGTAGCTGAAATCTGGAGATGAGATTCTATCTTGCTCTCAACCTCTTGGTTTGGAGGGTTGAGGAGGAGGTTGCTTGAAATCTTGTTTATGCTTAAGATTTAGAAAAGCTTTTGGCCAGTATATCATCGGCTTGGTGAAAAGATGGTACATGCTTTAACCAGCTATACACTTTCTGTCCTTGTTGACTTAAGCTGTTAGGATTTTACCTGTCAAACTTGGTACACTTCAGTAGGAAGCATGTGCTTTCTGATACTTGAAATAGAGCACTTGTCAAAATGCATGGTATTACCATAACTAACATGAATGGTCAGACTATCCATCAGCTTTCTGTGTTCATTTTGGCCCATGGAGTGGGAACTCCTCTCTTCCACTCCACTGTGTCATTTGGTGTTACACCAAATCTGCTCTGACGCTGCTGAGCTTCTCATTAGAATCTGCTGTGGGTGTGTTTGCTTCTTCCCCGTAGTAGTTTTCCACTTCAAGAGGACATTCAGATGTCTAGGGTTGAACTGCTGTTTGATTCTCCGGATGGACTCACCAGTCTTTCTGTTGAATTCCCAAATGTTTTCATGGGTGCTTAACTGGAAGGTGTCTCATTTCCTGCCTAATGCTTCTCTTGATCTCTGGTTGTTAAAGGCAATGCACTGTTTGCACAGATACAGTGCCTGAGATGGAAATTCTCAGTGTTGCTTGGTGTAGCGCTGGTTTCTGTACTGTGATGCTTCTTGGTCAAAGACTTGATGTTCATCTTTTACACTTGGAGAAGAGTGATCCATCAAGGCCTCTGAGCTGTCATTTGCAATTTTTGCCTTCTGACATAATGTTATTGCTTGACACATGGAATTCAAGGATGGCCTGCTATTTCTCCTGGGATCTCTGTGTGAAACCCTGTTGGAAACATCACACAGGATCACAACATAGTAAGCAATAAATATCTAGGCCTCTTAGTAATTTTCTGAATTATACCAATGTTCATATTGCTTACAGGGTTTTTGGTATTACTCTCTGCTCCCACACGGAGAGGTATAGACAAAGTAGCACTTTTTCACATCAGTTTTCATATTTCCATCACTCCACTGTCCAGTTATGCACCCTTGTAAGAATACATTCTATCTAAACAGAGGTTTGGGTCCTTGGCAGTTTCAGTTATAGTTCTGTCAAATTAAAAAAAGGTTCCACAAGGTATGCTGGTGTATACCTTCGGATGCCTTTGAAAGTTAATTAAAACATATGTGTTCTCATATGATTGCTCTTGTAAATATTTGGTATATGCAGAATCCATTTAGGTTTTTTTTGTTCTTCCCTAAGATTTGCAGCCTCTACTTTATCCTTCATAGTATCACACTGTGTATGGCTTTTTCTTGTAATAGGCAGGTGTTGCCGCCAGGGACTTTGCTGAAGCGTGAAGATACAAGGTGTATATACGAGGCTGTAAGCTTTTGGCTGAAATCTTGCTTTTCTTAGGTCTTTGATTGCTAATCGTGCTTCTGATGTCTGATCAATGTTGTTATTCAGTAATCTACGTTTGCATTTTGCCTTTAAATCTGGTGCTGAAGTGGGCTTATGTTCTGGAGGACCTCAGAATCCTTCCATTTGTCTTATTTTCAAAAGAAAGGTTGTAAGTATTCTCTAGGCCTGATTTATGATTTTTTTTTTTTCATCTTCTGAAGTTTACAGATAGGGGGACATGAATTCCTACTACAGCAGCAGCCTTTGTTTCAGCTAGTAAGTTCTTAATGGGTTTTGGTTCTTTCCTCACAGCCTTGTCTTGTGCTTCCCCTCCGTGTTTTCCAGTATTTCATTAGCCAAAGTGCTTGCGATTTTCTATTCAGCATTGTTTCCTTCCCTGGTAAAGTGCCTGCTCTGATAGCTAATTGAAATCTGATCTGTCTGCAGGTATTCAGTCAGAACAGTTAGAATTTGAATAATTTTTTTATGAAACTATTGCTTCTTTTCAGATTTAGCTTGTATCTGACCATGCTGTGCTTCAGGTCTGTTCCTTAGTTCAAACTGAATTTACTGTGCACATGTCAGTTGTCAATTTGTACCATTTATTTTGTTTGCTAGTTTAAGTTTGCAATTGTTTTTCTTAGTTTAGTGGTGGTGGTGGTTGTTTTAATTTTGATTTTATTTTTTTCTTCAATTGCTCATTCTTGATTTGTTCTTTAATCTTACATAGTTTATCTGAACTTATGTTGGTGCAGATGTAGTTGATTTAAATTTTGGTCTTGAATGAAATCTGTTTAATTTGCTTATGCTGCTCTGAGAGAATGGAATACTTAACAAGAATTAGTTTGGAGTGAAATTCAGTGATTTCCCTGCTGTTTTGGTCAACGGTCCTTGGTCATGGTTATCCCGAGCATGTTTTTACAAACTTGTGAGTAGATTTTTATCTTTTACCTTGATGGCATTTGTGAACTCCTTCTGTATTCTCCTCACTGTTTCACCATCATTTCATATAGCCTGGTGTGATTGACATGTAGTATAAAATTCATTTTCTTCAGGTGTGTGAGGTTATTTGTTTGACTGTGTCCAAATACCAATTCCTTCTGAGTTGTAAGCCTTCACTACCCGTAGCTGCCTAGCGTGTCCTGTTGGTGCTCATCCCGCCACCCATCTTTTTCCTACTTCTGCTAGGTTTTTGTTTCAGGTCAAGTCTAGCGGGTTTGTTTCTGGGAATTTATTGTTTGGATGAATTGTTGTGTGAGTTTCTGCACCTGAATATTTCAACATCTGTAAACTTGGCCTCAGTGGAAATAAAGGCAATTCCTTTGCTCTGTGTGTGTATGTATTGATATGTAGTGATAAGTACAGATTAATGCACATCCTGGTTTCCCCTCTGTTGAAGAGAAAAGCAGGAAAGTTTTACAACCCTAAAATATTTTAAATGTTGCTCAGTAGATAACACTGACAAGCGTGGTTACATCTTACAGTGATTGGGGCCCTGCAGCTTAGCAGACAAAGTTACAAAAAGTTCTAAAAGCTGTAAGTCTAAACTCAGATTTAGGTTAGAATTAAGATGTAGATTTTTATGGGGATGGTCATGAGTTCTTTGGGCACCTTGACAAGTACTGTGGTAGACATTCGATTGCTGATCACTTTTAGATGAAGATATTAGGAAGATAATCTAATTCAATCACAGTTCTTTAACTTGAAGGGCAAGTGAAAGCTTTATCCTTTGTTACTGCTTTATCCTGCAGTAGCCAAGCCAGATCATCACACCCTTCCTGAGCTTTTTTAAAAAATTGGTGGTTAGGTTTTCAATCTTCTCTCATTTGTATTCATCAGCCTGAAGACACAAAAAGCAAGTACTGTTTTTGCTGTTTGTCTCCCGAAAGGTTGGTAGAGTAACAGTACTTCCTCAACGTCAGTTTCACTGAAGATGTTTGTGTGCAAAGAAAACCTGTGTGCAAGGGGAACTGTGGCTGGGCAAATCAGTACTCTGTAAACTGCACTGGTAGAAAGAGAGAGCAGCAAAGACAGGCTTTGGGAAAGACTTAAATAATTGCCTTAATTTCAGAGGAGGAGTTTGTTTTTCTTGATAGCACGTTACGTGTCCATATAAGCTAATGCTATATAACCCACATGGGAAGACAGTTATCAAATAAGTATTATGGGGTTGTTTTGGTTTTGTTTGTGTGAATGAGCACTTGTAATACAAAGCTGTATAACCCTTCATAAAGTTCCAAGGATGGTGTTCACAAAGAAGAGGTTATTTTCATACTTCTATGGATACTATTACCAAGATGAGTTTAATATTGTGATTATTTTTGAGGGCTCTATAATATTTACTCTTCATTTATGCTCCCCCATGAAATGAAAATGAATAGAACGGACCCCTCTTTTAAAATAGTCTGTCCATGATATTGCCTATGGAGTTCAGATTGTTGCTCTGGGTTGAGTTTTGACAGACAAGTAATTGGATGACCTCATCCTGTAATGGCAAATGAGAGGGCTAATCGCATAAGCACGTGGACTGCCTTGAGAAACAATGGAAGAGTAATGATTCATTATACTTATGAGGAAAAACAATAGCTTGTACTGTATGTTTTAGCTATGTACTGTTATGAGTTTTACTGTTTTGTTTTTATAGTCCAGGAAGTAATACTTAAACTTTAGGAAGAGATTGTTCATTGTCCATGAGATCAATACAAAACTGAATGCTGAGTTGACTTAAGTCAACCCTATTGATTGAGGCTTTCTCAGAAATCAGCTGACGTCTGCAATCCAGGTAGATCCCTTGGATGTTTCAGGTTTTTGACTGGAGTTCATTGTGTGTCTGTTTTACTTGAATGGAAGGACAAGGGGTTGTCAGCACACTTTAAATACTGGGAACCGTTTAAGCAATATGTGTTTCATTCAGTGTTGGAATGTCACAATGCCTGTTTTGAAAAGTTGCTAATGACACACGTGATTTAGCAAGTTTCCTAGTTGTGGTGTTGAGCTCATACACAAATAGGCTGCTGACATCCATGGGACTATTTGAGTGATAGCTCATGAGCATGACTCCAAGAGTCACAGTCAGGCGTGGATTGAATCTTAGCTCTTTTGGAGGGTATACCTCTGTATTTGCTCTACGTGCTAAAAAGATGTGTGCTGTTTGTTTAGGCATTTTCAAGATAAAAATCTCTTAACAGAAGGTGTAGAGAGACTGTCAGGCTGCTGATTATATTAGTGTAGGTCTGGGAGAAGGATGTGGCAGGACAGGGCTTGGCTCCCAGAAGCCAGTCATCTGGCAAACTGGAGGAGGGGAAGGTGTCCCTTGGTGGCAGCATCCCGCACCACAGCTGCACCAATCGCAGAGTGACCTCTTTCCAGCTCTATGCAGGGTTTGATGTAAGTTGCCTGTGACACTGATGAATGGATGTATCACAGGTCACTGGTGTGCACTGAAGCACCTCAAGTCTGAGGACTGCACGGTTAAAGCTGAATGGAAAGTGTTACTGTCTTATACTGTCCTGAGGTTTTTAATAACTGTTTCCTGCACAACAAAGCCATGACCGCTGGTAATTTTTAAGGTCTGAAGTGACATTATTGATTATTATTCATAAACAGTAAATAAATTGGCTTCAGTGTTTTAATAAGGTCCACTAGAGGTAATATATAATCCAAGTCTTTACTCTTGTATGTGTAATCCAATTTACTTTAAGAACTCTGTGTATTTTAGCAGGTAAAACACTGCAGGATAACAAACATAATCGTAAGATTGCTGTCAGAGGGACTGTAGAAAGGTGATAAAGACTACTTCATCTTGTGTATTTTATTTAAACCAAAGTGTGATTTCTTTGTGAAAGAGAGTACTGTTTGTCAGTAAGAAAGTCCTTTTGTAGTAAAAAAGGTTGTTCATGTGTAAAGTGCATGAACTTTTTCCTGCTCATAATTGGTGTTTTGCAGAGAAACTTGGAAATTCATATGAAAGGTTAAAAAAAAAAAACAAACTAGTTATGTTTTAAAAGAAAGAAAAGAAAGAGGGAGAAATTTACCTGCAGTAAAGATCTGTGCCACAGGTAACCCAATAACTGAAAACATTGTGAATTATTACAGGGGTTTGAGTCCATATACTCTAAAATGTGTTTTCAGTGGTGGTAATTTACAATTACCAAGTTGATTCTACTACAGGTCATTCCTTTATTTCATTACTGTTTGTGGGCAATTTGTAATCAGTCGGGACTGCAAGTAACTAAAAGGAGGAGTGTTTTAGAATAGCTTTTTGGTGCCTGTGTTTTATTTCAGCTGTTTAAAAAAACCCCTAATTTCTGCCCTAATAAATATTTGCAGAAAAAAAATTCTTAAATCCATCTGTTTTCAATATGTATGTGAGTTTGCTGAGAAATTAAATGTTAGAATTTAAATCTGACATCTCTGCAGAGGAGATGAAAATTCTTTGCGGAGGTGAACAGGAGGGAACTTTTACATATTTTAAAAATAATTAGGGTATCTTCTGGGGAAGGTGTTTTTGTTTTGTGTTGTGTAATTTCTTATTAAAATACAATCTAGGATTTGTGGAAATATAGTTAGGAATTATTGGTAGCATTTGGTGTGCAACTGTTGATGGCCTTCTCAGTAGCAAAGAATTTTCAAAGCTGCTTTGGGAAAACAGTATAGCTTTGTCTTTCATTGGTATCCTTTTAGCAGAAAACCAGCTTGACTGTTAGGCATTTTGATCCTCTCTATCCTAAAGAATCAGACCATTAAGTAGCATAATTGTTTTTGCTGGAAGTCGTAATTTTCCCTATCTGACATTTGAGTTTTGAGCCCTTTTGGGGTGTATTGTTTGGGGTTTTTTTGTTGATGTTATGGTGGTTGGTTTGTTTGTTTTTTGCCAGGGCTTCAAAAGTACATGAAACACAGAAAAGAACTAAACTTTTAAAGGTGGTTTTATAAAACAGCTGCCTTCTGCTTTGCTTCAGTTCGTATGCCTTCTTATTGAAACTGAAGATTTTTCCCTCTTGAGTCCCTTTCCCTCTTTACAACGTGAGGCAGCACGTGTGGAGATGAATACATGGGTCTGCATTTTGCTGTGGAGGGTGAAAGGGAGTAGGAGGTATGCTGTGTAGCCTGTGGGAGATCTGTGGGATCTCGGATGATCCACCACTGTGTATTAATTAGAATTTCCTGTTCCATAGGTCTCCTTGTGGGTACTCTTGATGTCGTGTTGGACTCCAGTGCCAGAGTGGCACCATATCGAATCCTCTACCAAGCACCAGACTCCTTGGTCTATTGGACTATTGCCTGTGGTAAGGACAAACATACTGATGTGGATTTTTATTCTTCCTGGGTACTGTGCTACATAACTAACAGAGCATCCTGCTTGCTGAGCACAGTCATTTCAGGACAAATAAAGGGGTCAGGATGAAAACTGTCTCTAGTGGTTAAATTAAGAAGCTCCAAGGCTGCTAATATTCTGACCTTGAATGCCAGCCTGTGTGTATGTTATACATAATGACTGGAAATGGCCATGGCCTCTTTTGTTTGCCACCCTTCGTCTGAAAATTACATTCCCAGACAAGCAGTATAGTATCCATCCCTCCTCCTCGCATGTTCTTCTCCATGCCTATGGCTCACTCCTACGGCACTGCTAAAGTGCAGCATTCCTGGGTGATGGGGTATCTCTATATGATGTGGTAGGAGGAGTACCTGGGTTATAGGCCCCAAATTATCCAGACTGGACACCTGTCTTCCCTTGAAATAGAAACCAGGAAGATAGTGCAACCCCAGCTCTCACCTGAGTTTTGAATATCAGTATGGCATTTCCAGGATAGTGAGCTCGGTCTCCTCCAGGATAAATACCATCTAGATCCCAGGGGTGCCCACCTCCTGGACATTTATTTCAGACAGTGTGTTGTCCTTCTAAATATGATGTACTTAAAAATTCAGCAAGACGGTAGCTAGGTTAGAGGTAAATACAGAAGTATGAAGTGTATGTTCTTACACAGATGCAACAACTCTTACGAGTTTTGGTCTTTGAGGGTCAAACTTTGACATATCATATAATGACATGTCATTATAACAGTTGGTGAAATCAATGAAGTTGATATTTTGGTACATGAAGTAGGATTTTTGCGTGCATCACGTCCTGTAAATACTAAATGCTTATTTCTATGATCAGGTACCTGTTGGAAGTAACACAGAGCAGTATGTAGTTAGTCTCTGGTTCTGCTTGCTGGCTCTGAAAATAAGGTCTGAAACTGAATGCAGAAGGTCAAGGTTTTTTAGCTTTGATTGGCCAAGCTTGTAAAGTCAGATCCTCAGTTTGATAGTATTGCTTTTCAGTCTTAGAAGATGGAAACTTTTGAATGCAATGCCTCTAGCTCACTGTTTTAGGCAGTAGCCAGAACTCTGTTCATTTGAAAGAAAATTGAGAAAGAGGACAAATGAGAAGTGACACACATGCCTATAGTCTCTTTAATAGACTGGTAACTTCCAGCACCTCCAATGCTGCCTAACATTCAAAAATACTGGTTAATGAAGCTGTAGAAATCTTCTGGCATAACAGTGCCCTCTCATCTGTGCCTGTACTTCTGGTGAAATTTGACATTTAGATTATTTGGATGACTTTTTCTCCAGACAAATCCTCTCTCTTGTGAAGGGAAGAGGAGGAGGAATGGATGAAGGTTTGCTGTAGATCTAACAATTTTAGCAATTCAAAGCAAGCTCTATTCTTATGAGCATATAATTTGTGTGTCTGATAAAGGTGATACCAGGGCTGTGTCGTGTTCTGAATCTAATAGGAAGTTTTTGAATAGCTAGGGCATCAGTCTAAACAGCCATTTTTCCCTCTATACCTGTTAGTATCATCTCCCTGAAGATTTTAAAATTCATATAACATAATTTGCCTTCCATGACAGCTAATAGTAAAAGCCGATATATTAATGAAATTAATTAATTATGAAGGCCATTTCTAAATTGTCATGCTTTGTATTGTCATCTACTCTGCTGTGACTGTAAGTAATGCATATCAGTTTTCCATGGACCTCGGTCATGAGAAAAAAGGGTAAAAGTACTTCCCAGTATGTTTATTTACACTGTTTGTGCACAAGCAGATGTAGTTGCAAATGCACATGTACAGTCCCTTCTTCCCTTCACCCGAATGTCAGTGCGCAGCAATTAGTAAGCACCTCTGTCCCATAAACTTGAAAGGGAGCAACTGAGGGCAGAAATTTTCTACTGTTTGCAGATGAAAATAACATCTCACAAAGCTCTCCACAAAATAGTGTTTCTTCAAGGACACTATGCACTTCAGGTGCTATGCACATATTCAGAAAATGAATTTTTAAGACTTTTGAAATAGGCCATGTGGCTTTTCTTTAAGTGCGTTTGCAAGTTTTTTGCATGACACCTATAGATAATTAGTATAATGTTATACCTGCAGTGTGTCTACTCAGATAACCAGGGGCACAAAATTGAAGGCAGATGAGTTGTGGCCTCAGAATAAGCAAATGTACTATACATATACATATACTGCTGAACTGTGAGGGTTTTATTTCTCTTCTGTGACAGATATTACAGTTTTTGTGTAGAAATATGGTACTCTGTTTACATTTAAGATAGTTTTAATAAGCATGCTCTTCAATTATGAATGTTAGCCCTAACTGAAGTAGCCAACAAAGTAGTTAATGTATGTTTTAATAGCACTTCTATGTCCCGTGTCAGTATCGCCCCGCAATCTGCTAGGTATATGTAAATTCTGTTAGGAAGTGAACAACTTTTTTTAGATGCTTCACCTATAAAATCAGTCATTCTTACTATGGCTTTGTGTGTTTTTTCAGGTATAGAACCACTGCTTTAGGTTTTCTGTGGTAACAGTATGCATTTTTGTAGAAGTTTCTAAATGTGTATTTCACATGTGATAAAAATGACTTCTGGATTATTTTAAAGCATTAATCTTGCAATTTTGTTACATGACTTGGAAAAGGTTTTCAGAAAAACCTATGTGCTTTGATTGACAAAGCTACAAGTTTTAGTTAAGAGTGCTGTTGAGTTAACCAGCTGTAACTGTTTTCTCTCCTCCCTTTATGCACAAATGGAGGATTTTGACAGTCCACTCCTGAACCTGCCATTACTGGCAAGAGCAATTTTAGGCTTCCTGAAATGTTACACTTCCTCCTGAAGTGCATTCTTTTAACAGCAGTAGTTCAGGTCGACTAATAAGCATCTCAGGTAAGTATCTACTTGGGAGAGAAGACTGGACATGACAGCCTCATCAGCTGTCTCAAGTTAAGCCAATCCTATTCCTTAGTCACTGACTGAAACAATACTGAGATTATACTTCTGAGTGTGTTTAAAAGTATGTTTATATGACTTGTTAATTTTCTTCTCAGTCCTGAACTCAGCTGCATTCCCTCTGTACCTTCACCTCTTACTTTAGACAAACGAAACCAAATGGTAGAAACCTAATACTGACACCCAGAGATATTCCCATGTTGCTCGTACTAATACTCCATCCCACCTTCTAGATGACTATCCCTTCCCATCCTTTCTCTCCAGCACCATGCATCCTTCCTCCAGCTCTTCTGGTCTAGGCATCCCATAGCTCTCTGACTTCTGTTTAACACACTGATCAGTTTCCTCCCTGAAGGTGGAGGAGAATAGCTCAGCCTACCAGGAATGCTGGCCAACATCACACCATTTCAGCCATGGGGCCACACCGTAAGCCGAGGGTACCATTTAGAGGAGGGGAAGGAGTGATTAGTAGCCTGTTGTATGTGTTGTAGCTATTTTCCCTTTTATCTCCTACCAAACTTGAGAGCTCTGTGTTCGAAAGTGCAGTGGTTTAGTGTTTAATGTTTTCTTCTCTTCCTTGAGAGTTAGATGTATTTCTTAATTTACCTAAACAGCCAATGATGGCAAAATGGTGAATGCTTCTAATGTGCTAAGATAGGCAAAGACTTGCCAGTAGTGGAGTTAAAATAGACCTGTAGTTTAAAACATCACAGTGAATGTGTTTTTTAATCCTGAGTGAACAAATCAAAGAGAAAGATCTAGACTGTGATGATAACCTGATGAGATCTTGGGTGTGGATTTTGGCCTGATGGCGTGATCTGATGTAGATGAGACTGTCTGGGAAACAGTAAGACAGCAGAGACAAAAAGCAATGAAAACAGTGAGATGGGACGTTACAGGTTGAAGATAATCAACCAAAAGTGTTTCATGAGAAGTGATGAAAAATTGATGAACTGCAAACAAGAACTAGACAGCTTTAAGAAATAGTTCATCGTGATAGTGTGTCTGCGCTGCTTGTCACTGCTCTTCAAGAGATGAGTGATTGTTCTGGTGACAGTCTGGTTTTATATACATAGCTCACTGAGATCATAATTGCTTTTTACAACAGTGTAAAAGCCAAGAAGAAATACATTAGTCTTCAGACCACCTCCTGAGTTCCAGAAAGGTCTGGTTATATCCAGTAGTTTTAAGGAGAAGCAGCAGTGATCACTTGTGGTTCTGAAATATTGGTTACATATGCAGGCTATTCTGCAACAGGATTTACTATCCACACAATGAGAATTGTGCAGATCTCCTGGAAGTTGCACAGAATGTTGCATTCTGTTGCTTTCATTAGGGTTGCGTAAAGCTCTGGTTGTATTCTATAGAAGGAATGTTTCTCCCCATGGTTTGTCACTGAACAAGGAAAACAATTGTTTGGTATGTATTCAGGATGGGTTGCATCGAGGAGTTCTGTAAACCATGTGCAGATATGTGACAATTTGTGCCTATAGTGAAGCTGAAGATGTCATTAGCAGCAGCTTGTTGTAATTTAACCTCTTCCTATTGGTGCCTTCACATGAAGCAGCTTTACTTTGTTGGGTTTTGGAATATGCAACTGTTGTGGGTTTTTGTCACTTCCTAACAGATGCAGGTAATACCTTTGCTAACTCTTTAATGTGATATTGGGTATCTCAGTGTTGTTACTGTGATTAGAATTATAAATGTAGGGGGGGTTTGCTCATGATACTGACATAAGTAGCTTGTGCTGCTTGAAGATGGCTACCTATTTATTATGAAATTACAGAATATGGGAGAAAACTTTTGGAATTTCCAGGGACACAAAGTCTGGTGAAATATTGCATCTCCAGTTCCTGGGGAGTTTATTATTAGAGTTTTTTTTTTTTTTTAATGATTAAGAGGACATTGACATTGATAATTATTTGTTTTGTGACTTTTTGGTGGTTATTTTTATATACAGGCTGCTCAAGGAAGGAAATCACTGAACACTGGGAATGGCTTGAACAGAATTTGTTGCAAACTCTTTCAATCTTTGAAAATGAGAATGACATAAATACATTTGTCAGAGGAAAAATACAGGTAGTTATGTATATTATTATAAATGTTTTTAATTATAAATGTGGCTGTGGAAGGAAAATTGATGTGAATTCTAAACAAATTTGACCTAGTAATCCTTAGGCTGCTCCAACCTTTTGAAGGAAAACCAGATCTGAAGTAGCAACGTGTGTGTAAAAAATTAGGGAGACTGGGATTAGCGCACATAACTACAGCATTGTGATTTAAATAAAATACATAGGCAGGGCTTCAAAGAGTATATGTTCTAAAATTAATTGAACTGGTGCTTCTGTCTTAAAGTTTTTCAGTTTTCTATGTAACTGCTTTTTCAGTGCAAAGCTTTAATTTTATTTTTTTTTACATGCAGTTGTTGCATAATGTCTCCTCACCCTCTTCTGTGTAGTTAAATCTTGTAGTGTTGGCATTTATACTTCATATAGGTGTTAGGGGTTGCTGGTTGATTGGTTTTGGTTGGGTTTTTTTGGTTGGTTTTACTAGAATTTCTTTTTCTCCTTATAGGAGAGATTGTAGCTATACTGGTAAAAGTACTTTATCCATACTAAGAATTATCAAAATATTTTGGTAAAAGATTGATTGTAAGCAAAATTGCTGTACTAACTTGGTGTCTGTTCTAAGCATTGGCTTTGTCTCATTCCTTTTGTAACATTTCTTGTAGTAAGTCAACTGTCTTAAGAATCCCCTAGTTGTTTTTGTTTTACTAGTGGATCGGGTATGAGAGCTGTAGATGATCACGGAAACACCTTATATGAGGAGGCATCTGTTTTGTGAAATATAATCCTTTAAGGAAATTGTTACTTTTTAGACTTGCACAAATATTAAATATGAATGATGATTCACTGTCTTATACTGTGCTTTCCATGTAAATGGAGCAATTTGAAGGCAATAAGTAACTTTTCTTTTTATAATTTCAAAATAGTAAGCAATAGAAAAGATTTATAAAAGAGATTGGAAAAATAAGTGAATAGACCTGAACTTCAGTATAGAACAGAAGGAACTGTGGTCTTTGAGGTATCAAAAAGAAGGTTTTCACCAGACTGCTGCCACTTCAAATTTAATTAAGATCTTCTGTACCTGAAAGTATCAATGATTTTTCCATCCTGACAGTTAATCTAGTAGAAGATGTTTCTTTTTTTCCTCTTGCTCTTCTCTTCTGCTCAAGATCTACTAAGAGGTGTCATAAAAGTTGTTTGATATTTTCCCTAATGAATAACAGATCCTTTTTTCCTTCTATTTAGAAGAAGATTTTCTGGTGAAATCCTATCCCTGTCTCCTCAGGGAGCATATTGACATGGAAAAGGAAAATTTTACAAATCATAGGTGCTTTACAGAGTTGTTAGGAGTATTTGAGATAGGCTGATTGATTGAAAACAGGGTACTGGCAAGTAGTTGGTATTTGGTTACTTTTGACATAGGCACGGTAGGGAACAAGGTCATCAGAAAGACAGCCTTGAGTAAAGTAAATAACTATATAAGCAAAAAAACAAGCAGAAGAATAAGGGATAAGTAAAAGACTTTCTTAACATTGCAGTATCTGTTGTGTCTCTGGCCAAGACAGCAGTGGCAATGATATCTGATACCCCACGGCAACTAAATGCTCTGTACTTCTTTCACTCCATACTAGGGCATCATCGCTGAGTACAACAAGATAAATGGCATCAAGGAGGATGACGATACAGAAAAATTTAAGGAAGCCATAGTGAAGTTTCACAAGCTATTTGGGATGCCGGAGGAAGAGAAATTAGTGAACTACTACTCCTGCAGTTACTGGAAGGGGAAGGTTCCCCGTCAGGGCTGGGTATATCTCAGCATTAATCACCTTTGCTTTTATTCTTTCCTCATGGGCAGGGAAGGTATGTTTTACAGTGGAATGGTGGTCTGTGTATCTCAGAATTGTTCAGAAATCTTCTGCAGGTTGTTTTTTTTGAACAGCTGGGAGTGCAAAGACACTGCTGAGGAAAAGAGGAACACAGAACAATTCCCTGATTGTCACATTGCTTAACTGAGCACTTGCTCCCTTGTTTGTTTTGTATTTCTCAAAGTAGTTCTTGTAAAACAGTACCTGGGCATCATTTAGAGACATGGTTCCCTTCAGGGTCTGTGTCCAAAAGGGAATAGGGATGAGATCATGCCAATTTTGGCTCCTTCTGCTCTTATACAATCATCCAGTACTACTATGGCAGACTTTGCAACCTCAAATGCCACGTTTACTCTTGTACAATACCACAGCATCACAAAAGGCTCAGAGGAGACCCAGGACAAGAGCTACATAGTGCGGATGCAATCAGTCTGCTTTAGAGGGAGTTAATTCTAAGCAGTGTGGAGGTGAGCGTGTCTGCAGTACTTCGTTATGGGCAATGGATCACAGAATCACAGAATGCTAGAGATT